TTGCTAAAACTAAAGCCTTGAAAAATTTCCCTCTATTTATCCCCGTCCCCTAATTGCCCTGGCGCCTCAATTCCTCTTCGCCTGGTGGTGACCTCTTCCCTTCCTCCCACGGATACATAGCTCTTTTGATCAACCCTGTGAATGCCCCGATCTGTGCTCTGCCTCGCTAAATGGCCTCCAGCAACTTTCTGCAGGGCCAGGGTGGCTAGTGCAATTGGAGGAGGCATATTCACCAGCACAGGAGGAAGGGGAACAAGAGGCAACAGAGGAGTACAGAGATCGCCTTGAAGAAGAAGGTCATGTCCTGCCTCCTGGTGGTCTATACAAGTAATAGTCTGCAAAACCCAAATTCAGACTTGGGCTGTGTCCACAAAACAGTCATGCATGCGGGGGCATCTGCCAGCAGGGGTTAAAAATTTTTGAGATGGTAGCCTCAAGCATGCGATTGAGGCCCCGCCCCTTTTTGGCATGCGCCATATGTACGATGCACATAAAAAGGGAGCAAGAATTGGAAAATTGAAGCTTCTGAAATGTGGATTTACATATGATTACTTAAAACATTGTTGGATGGGTAAAGGCAGGGGAATTAAGAGCACCTTAAAAAAAAGGAAATGAATATTTAGGACACATGATACACCATGAGGAATATCAACTATTTTAATTATACAAGGAGAAATGAACACAAAACGTAGCATTGGAAAACGACACGTGCCCTGGCTGAAAAGTCTATTTATATGGTTTGGCAAAAATACAGAATCCTTGTTTTGGACAGAAGCATCAAAAGAACAAAGAGCATTGATACTTGCAGGCCTTCAGTAGAAGAAGTAACTAAACGAAGAAGATTCAGCTGACGACAGGCGTGCCTTTCCCCGAGAAGTTCATAATGCTGGGAAAGGGACGAAGAAAGAGAAAAGGAAAGTGAAAGACCTTAAAGAGCCCGGGTGGGGACAGAACATCTTGGAGCAAGTCCATAATACTGACATGATGGCACGTAATCGATCACGTCTTACAAAATAGGCATCGAGTCGCAGTATTGTAAAACAGAGCTTGACTGGCCGATTAACTAAACCATGGCTTACTCAACCAAACTCTCTGAGCTACTGTAACCCACTGACAACGAACTAACTCTACAAGCAGAATTCACACAACACACACGACTAGGGTAAAAAAAAAATGTTTGGCCGGTACAGAGTTTAAAGACTTCATTATACTTAATTGCAGCGTTAGGTAAAATTGCAAAAGATGAAATAAACGAATGAGAGCGCGAACGAAGTATACTAGCATGGCACAAAGGTTGCAACATTGATTTCCCAACGCTGATTTCACACGACACGAGATCCACGTTTTTCTCCAGCACTGCAGGACTACAGTGAAGAAGGTCCCTGTCAGAACCTGCATCAATCAAATGTCATTTTAAAAAGTTATAGCAGTCAGTGGGTGTTTGCTTGATTTGATTCTGCCATTTGTGACAAGGGGGGGGGGGAAATGGTAGT